TCAGTCCATTTTGGCAGGGAGGCATGGTGGCAGAGGTTGCTGGAAGAGGAGCGGAAGCTAAGCTCTCACATCATCTCACAGGCACAGGAAGCAAGATGGCAACTGGAGATCTGGCAAGGCTTAAGAACTCTCTAAGCCCACTCCCAGTGACCTGCTTCCTCCAGGATAGCCACATCTTCTAAAGCCTCCCAAAACACCACCACCATGTGGGGACATAATGTCCAAATACTTGGAGCCTATGGTGGACACTTTCATTCAAACCATCACCCCCCTCCCCCCTGCTCCCCTTCCTCCCATCCTAAGCAGGGTCTTAAATTCACTATATATCTGAGGGTGACTTTGAACTTTTAATTCTCTTCTCTCCTTTTCCAAGGGCTGGGGTTAAAGGTATGCACCACCATGCCTGGTTTTACGTGGTACTGGGGATTGAGCCCAGGACTTCTGTACACTAGATAGGCAGTATATCAACTGAGCCGCATCCCCGGTGCTCTCACCAAGTCTTTCTCAATGATGGTGCAGTACCAGCGAGTCCCCTGACTGTCTGTCTGTCTGTCCGGATTTGCCTCTCCTTGTCTGTTCTGTGTTGCCTTCTCCTCAGTTCTTCCTCCCTCGATCATTTTTCTATCTGCTCAGATGCATCTGACTTCAAGGCATGAAAATAATTATGAAACGTGAATCTAGTTCCTAATAAATGGATAGCTTGTTAGCAAGAAGCCTAAAGAACGTGACACTAAGGAACTCTAGCTGAACTCGATTGGATGATCCTTGGCACAGTTTTCAAATGCTATGCGAGATCACAGGGTTAAGAACTTGAGGGAATGATGATGACTTCATGAAGATGACCTTGAGACAGCATTAGAGGTGTGCAGGGGTGAAGGGTTTCCAGACTGGGAGGTGGACAGGAACCAGTAAAGATGATTTGGGACAAGAGTAATGGAGAGGTGGCTTGGTGCTCCTAAGCACTCTGCTGTCGGAGGCTTAAGTTGGCCCATGATGAGTAGTTGAGAGGTGGGATGGGTTTTGACAATTCAGGGTCTTATGTTGTAAAAAAGTTCTATGAACAAGGTGGCTTATGAACAATAAGTTTCCTCCTCGTGGTTCTGGAATCTGCAAGTCCTTGATCAAGGCATTAACAGAGTTCATGTCTGGAAAGGCCAGCCTCCCTGTGTGTAGATGATGTTCACTTGCTGTGTTCTGTCATGGTGCATGCAATGAGGGAGTTCTCTGGGATCTCTTTCATAAAGACACTAGTCTTATTCAAGAGTGCTTTGACCAAGTCACCTCCCCAAAGGCTCCACTTTGTAGTTCTGTCACCCTGGGGATCCGGACTTTACATGGGATTCTGGAGGAGGCACAGGACATGCCATGGCAGTCTGGGCTGTAAGGCTTCAGTGAGTTTTCTTTTATCCTCTTGTTGTTTGGATTTTTATTTATTTATTTTTATTTTGTGTGTATGAGTGTTTTACCTGCATACATATAAGTATAGTCATGCATGCAATGCCTGAGGAGGCCTGAGGACAGCATCAGACCCTCTTGGAAATGGAGTTACAGGTGGTTGTTAGCCACCATCTGGGTGCTGGGAACTGAACCTAGGTCCTCTGCAAGGGCAGCTAGTGCTCTTACTCTCTCTTTCCAGACTCCTATTGTGTGCATTTGTAATGGCCCCTCCTATGTCGAAGCCTGGCCTGTATTCAGCAGTGTTCATGAGTGGGACCTTTGGGGGGTCATCAGATCAAGGACTCTGATGTCATGGGTGAAGTGGTAAAAGGTGGGGAAGGTGTTAAGAGCCCAGCCCTCGTTGGAGGAAGTGGTTGGGGTGTGTACCTTGGAAGGGTACATTTTGTCACTGGCCTTTCTCCTCTCCTCCCGCTCTCCTTCCCTCCCCCTCCCTCTTTCCTGGCCACCATGAGGTGAGTGGCTGGTCCACCTTGTGCTAACTCCCACCATGCTCCTCACCAGAGGCCCGGGAAAAATGGAGTCACCAGACCCTGGACTGAACCTCAGAACCTGTGAGCCAAAGTCGTACTTCCTCCTATAAGTTGATTTTCTCGGGCATTTTGTCAGCAATGGAGAGCTGACTACCCTCTCTGTATTGAAGGTTGGAGGTGGAAATGGTTTTTAAGTGGTGAGAAAGTATGGTGAAGGTAGCAGTTTGGGGAAACTGATCAAACAGTGGCTTAAAGGGCTGACTGACTAGGGACAAAAGGTTAAAATGACTAGGCACGGGACAGTAAAATGGCACTGGTCTGGGTATTCAGGTACAAGGGCTTGGTAGAAAATAAAATAAAATCGCTTGACAGTTTAGCTAGAAAATGTATTCCAGAGGGCATAGTTTTCTATAATTCTCTAGAATTTATGCATCAGATTGGAACCATTCCTCAGGGACGGTATCCATGTGCTTAGAGTTCTTGCTAGTGATACCCAAGAGGGAAGCAGGTGGTGGACGGGCATTTGGGGTTCTCACAGGAAGATAGGTTCTGCTGGCCAATCCCAGCTTGTAGTCCCTCTGTCCTGGTCCCACTCTCATCTGAGAAGTGCTTGCCCACCTGACAGGCACAATTCAGGGGGAAAAAAACCCCAATATTCCAGCACGCAGGGGTCGGGTTTCCAAGAGAAGTCCTGAGAGTTGTCTTGTGTAAGGGAAAGAAGAGAGACTCCATGATGTTTCCTGAGGGGCAGGAACCTGCGCTCAGATGTCACGGGCAGAGGTGGAGCTGCAGTCTGTAGCTGCCCTGTGTCTCTTGGTGCATTGCAGAATAATGATTATATTATTGTCTTCATTTTGGAGTGT